ACAGTGCTTAAATTTAACCGAGGTCCTTCTTTAGTACTTCGTAATTTTTTAGGGAAATCAAAATTTAAGTTAAAGCGTGCCCGAAGACTTAAAGGCAAGATTTTTGTCACTTAACTGAACAGGAAGACTAACAGGAAATTTCGATAATCATGCAACAATTGAACATTCACATCATCTGGGAAGCTTAAAATACGCTAAAAAAAACCTTAAGCAAACAGAGAACAAATACCTAACGCTGAAATATAATCCCTGTAGGCAGTGGAATACCTATGAATCAAGAGCGCTTAAAATGAGAAAATCAAAACAGAGAAGAAAATTGTATATAACAAGAAGGATTACTATTGAAATTGCTCACATTTCCGTTGCCTTTGAAACCATGTCTTACTATCATTAATTAAATCTCCATGCACTAATTTTATTACATTTTTTAATTTTAATGATGCATTTATTTTATAACCTGTGTAATTATTTTAATTTAATTTTTAGCCCAAAAAGGCATTACCCTAAATGGGCTATTTGTCTCGAAATGGAATTTTGCGTCGTCCACTATGAACAGCTGTATCACTTTTCAAATTGTTTAAAAATTGAAATTAAATAATGAAGAATCTGCATGAATGTATGCATGTTCTTTGCACTATGAAAAACGATGGTACCTAGAGCCATCAAATTTTGAATAACGTAGTTCTCCATCCGAATAAGGGCACCTGTAGCCCGAATTTTGAATTTCAAAAATTTTTATTACATATTTCATATTTTGTAAAACTTATTTTGTAAAAATTTAATTAAAAAACTCAACAACTTCAAAGCCAGCAGTGGCAACACTGAACGGAATAAAACATTTCTATCTCCTGTGTGTGAGACTGTCTGTCGGAAATTCTAAAGATGCGCTGTTTATAATTATTTCGTGATTTTGATGTTAAAATAAATTTTATGTGGCGTAAGCGCCTTAAACGTGACATTTAATAAAGTTAATGCAGAAAAGTTAATAATAAAAAGATTAAAAAAATTGTTAGCCATCTTGCTCAGAAAATTGAATATTGATATGATTAACTGAGATAAGACAATCAAAAATAGAAAAATGTATGCCAACATTTAGCACCACATCGGGAATTCTAAACATATGCTGCTATGTTGCTTTTAAAAATTTTGTAATTTTACTGTTGAGTTTATACGGCGTAAGCACTAAGTAAACGATGGTCAATAATGAAGCTAAAAAGAGGAAAAATGTTTAGCAGGAGTGAATGCAATAGCAGGATGCGAGATCTTCGACAGCGTAGAAGCCTTAACAAATCCTTTTGGGTGGTCATTAAAATCTGAAACGCTTCAGATTTTTTTCCCAAGATTTCAGTTTTTTCTTTCAAACTATTATTCGTTTCAGTTAATTTTTAATAATCTTACTTAATATTTTATTTACAGTTTTTGACAGCTTTTGACAAGCTCCGGACTTTGAACTTTACAAATAGCGCCTTTCAAGTACATTTTGAAAAGTTTTGATAACGCCTGGCGTTTGCCTTCTAGCGTCTCAAGCTGGAAATATTTACAAAAAAAAATATTTAAACTAATTATTTTTAGTTTTGCCTAAAAACAAATTTACTTTGATTACTAAATGAGAGATACTAATTATTTCAATGAAGTAATAATGTATTATTATTTTTTATTTATAGCAACTATATGTTTTTAATGACTTCCCATTTCATTAATTTTTTTGACAGGGCAATTTCAAAAAATTAAAACAATTAAATCATAAAATCAAAATGATTATCCATTAAATGTTTAGTAACTCTCTAAACATTAGAGTTTGGGATCCACAGTAGAACGAATTTATTACAGGAGTATGTGTTAGCTCGGTTATGATGTCCCCAATGGGAATAGGCCATAATTGTTATGAAGAATATTATTTCCTTATAATAGACATATTCCCCCTATAAATAGTAAATCAATGTAAAATATAAATAATTAGTAAATTACTGACTGAAAATGAATTTGTCAGGTGAGAAGTTCAAGTATGAAAAGTTGAGGAATAGTCACTTATCAAAGTAACAACCTGAATTCTCGTCATGATAAAATGCATGAGAAATAAAACCCCAGAAAGAATTCTCTGAGAAGAAAATGGTATGTTACAAGAAGATGCAGAAGCTTCACTTTTTCTATTTCTTTCTTTTTCACCTTAATCCCAGGCACCGGCTTGTCTCTTTTCTCAGGGTGAAGGGATGACATCACGGGACTGAGTCAGGCGATAGCGTGCGGTCACGACTAGCTCTACCGGCCATTTATTTTTCTGACCACTGCTCACAGTGAGGGTGTGGTTGATCATTTTTTCTCCTCCCCTCTTCCCCGCTACATGCCGTTAAGGGCTATCAATAAAAGAATGATTGCGGGTGTTTTAAGAGATATGACGGAAAAAGAGTGTCGCGTCATTTTCAATAAAAAGGCTACTCGACAACTCTCTTTGGGAAATCTACAGATGAATGACTCACTCTTGGATGATTTGGCGAGAAAGCAAGCTAATTAATTCGATACAAAAAATGAAATTTCACAAATAGCTATAATAAATTCCTTTTAGAATCATGGATGATTTGAAATTTTGCCATATTCACGTGCTACTATATCGTATCATGAAGATGCCTATAGCATTTTCAAATATTCCGGCAATTTGGCAAGTTTTCTATGTAAGTTTGAAATAAGCGAAAGTAGTTTAGCATAAATGTTATACTACTTGAATAAAATGAATTAATGCCGCCTTTCACTATTTTTTACAGTACCTAATGTACATGAAAGAAAGGCCCTGTAAACTTCTTCTTTGGTTTACTTATCATACTTTATTCAGCTCTGTTTCTTGCATAAAGTATTATGTAAAAATTACATTGCTATACCTCATTTCCGAAAGAGACCTGAAATCTCTCTATTTTCCTTTCATTGCAAGCGCTTTGTCAATTGAAAAAGGGAAAGAGAGGTTTTAAATTATAGCTATTTCTCTTATGTCGCGTTGTTGCTTAAAAGTGCTTTATAGTAGACGCCGCTTAATATGATAACGGTTTAATGTTAAAATTCGGAAATTGGTATCGAATGGCCGAAATCCCGTCTATTTTTATGCAAAAACTAGGAATACACACCGCTTTTTATCATTAAAAATTCGGTTCATTTTATCAAGATACCATCCGAAGTAAATTCTCCAAATAATGTCAAACTAAATATTAAAAACTATCAAATAACTAAAGAAAGAAATTAGAAACTACACTAACATTAGAAACAGTATATAAATGAACTTTTGTGTAACACTTGCCCACAATCCACTAACAGCATTTTTTTTTCTTTAGTTAAAATGCTGCGAAAGTAAATATTTATACGCTTCTGCTTGTATTTATATTAAATTGATCACTATTCTTCAAATCAGCTAACGCAAATTTGCGATGAGAGAAAATATCCTTCATATTAGCTTTTCTCATCGTTTAATGTCATCAAAGTGGTCTCCCAGGCGGGAAAGTGGTTAGTGACTCTGATTACCGTATGGAAGGCCTCGAGTTCGAATTCCGTACGGAGAGGGTTTGGATGTAAATTTTCTGTCCCTTCATAGGAAGCAACGGTAGCAAAATCTCTTAGGTGCCCCTATACTAAAGCGACCATCGCTATGATGACTAATGGTCGAAATTGGGGGGGGGGTGAAATGTTATCAAAATAGTCCTGGACAAACGCGATTACATTTAGTGGCTCCTACTGTAGATTAATTCCAAATATCATATTTTTAGTATACGTAACAGCAAGTAAACTAAAGAGATACAGTGTGACAAATTTTCAACACAGATTTTGATTTTTATTCGTACTTTCCAATATTCTATGATAAAAATAAATCTTTCTATGGATTGTTTGCGTTTGGGTGGAGGAAGGAATTTCTGTTATACAGTCTGTTCTCTTATATGTCACGACTGTAGCCTTCAGAATGACAGGTAATCTATATTCTAATGCATTTAGATTTAATTCTTTAATATTTGCAAAATGAACGAAACTAATATTTCTCCTTACCTATTTAATTCCATATCTACAGAATTTTTTATCTTATTAACTTAATTTTAAGTTTATTTTTCGTTCATTGTGCTTTTGAAATCTTAAATAGTATGGTTTATAAGGTTCTAACATTTGAAACTTAAATAGAATGTTTATTAACATTTGAACTTTTTCAATAGTATTTAGTTTCTATGATTGTTATATAAAGATATATAAAAATTATAAAAAATCTTTTAAAATCCTTGATACAAATTTTTATAAATAACGCAATCGGTCAGATTTTTATAGCAGGATTATAAAAAATATAATCTTAGCATTAGTTTCTTAAATAACGTATTCTGATACCGCATTTGATCATTTTTAGCTCCTTTTTTAATGTGTTATGAAAAGTGAGAATCCGTGAATTCTGGTATATTTTTTATGATGCCCAAACAGAAAATATTACTTGCCTTCCTAAAAAGTATTTTCTATGATCAAAAGGATAACAATATTATGTTACGTGTTACTTCAAAAGCATTTATTTTAAAGAATTTTTAATTTTGCCATGTGTAGCAAAAGTTTTTTTTTTTTCTTTTTTTTTTTTTTTTTTTTTTTGCTTAATTTCATCGAAATTTAAAATTTAAAATAGAGTTACTTTAAGTTTTCATGTTTTCAAATTTTTAGTATTACAGAGTTGTCAAATTTCAGTGTTATTTCATATTTATGTCAATAACATGAAAAACATGCAATGCCCTGTCTGGGATTCGAGATATACTTTCGAAATACCAACTAGATAAAATACCTGCATGCAAAAACATTTGTGTTACGTGAATAGGAGCCAGTCTGCTTTAAACTCCTCTGTACAGGTAAGCCGTCGCGTCCTTTGCCTTAATCCAAATAATTCAGTTCAGTGCAACGTTCTTCACCAGTATGGAACAGAATCACGCCTTAGTTTATCTGATAATTACCAATCAGATTTAAACTAAGCAAAATTGAAATAATAGCATAGATTTGCTTACCTCTCACAGCAAGATGAGCTGAATACGCGTCTTGACCTCGATTGTTTTTTGCTATACACGTATAATTTCCTGAGCTTTCAACATCTACTTTGTTTATTACTAGCCTTGAAAAATCCTGATGGGTCATAATATCCACATTATCATTAGCAGTTAGAGATTCTCCGTTTTTTTGCCACTGGAAATGCACAGGAGCTTCTCCTTCTAGCAGTCCACAATATATCTGAACTTTTAATCCTTCTTTTACATTAGCTGGCAAGTGGAATGGTTGAATACGGATTTTATCTGAAAAATAACCACAGTATAATATCTATAAAAGGTATTTAACGAAGTGAATTTACTGTTCTCATATAAATCTCCGATGAATATAGATTGTCATATAAAACTCCGATGCAGTTGTTTATGCTAATTATGAATGAAGTTTTAGATCGCAGATTTATTTTCTACACATTTTAGTCATGTTTACAAAGATGAAAACTAGATTAGATTTAATATTTGTAAAGCTAATCTGGAATTTTAAACGTAAAATTGTAGCTCTTAATGTTAATATTTTGTCCAAGGCTTGTATTTTATATACATTCAAAGTATTGGAATAAGATAACGGAATATATCGTTTTATATGCATTTAAAGTATGAAATATTTATTTCATTATTCTACTACTTATGCTTTATATAGCATAAGTAGTGGAATAATGAAACAAATGTTTCGGAAGGGCATTATGGCCTACATCTGTCATGACTTGCTTAAATTCAGCGATTTACATGGATATTGATTCATTTATCTATTTTTTCAATAAAGTAAACTTCCTAAAATAATTAGTTTTCTTTTAAATTCAAATCAATGATAATTATTTTTGTTATTAACTGTACTATGATATATTTGATTCTAAATGAAGATAAATCAGTGCAAAGGTTTATTACACGCAAAGCATTTTTTCACTTTGTCTAACAGTTTTTCTCTGGATGAATTTGTTACTAAAATTCATATCATGATTTGACTACTCTGATCTCTAAATATGTTAACGAAGGATATTTGGGATTTATTTTAGCCTTATTATCACTTGTTACATAGCAATTTTTGAATAAAACAAATTAAATTGCAATTATATAACACTGTAGATTTTAAGATGATACTTAACATCCTATTTTATTGATTTAGACTTAAAACAGAATTAATATAAACCATTTCCATAATTTCCAAAACATGATAAATTTAATTAGGGGAATTTTCGTTAAGACATTTTTAAATGCTACAACAATAATAACTCACAATTTACAACCAGTAAGGAAATTTACGACTTACCTTCTGCCAGAACACCTTTACAATATAAAACGAAGTACAAAACAAACCACTGCAACTGTCGTTTATCCAAAGAGAAGGATCCGTTTCCTAGTACCCCAGGCGGAGGCTTTCCAGTTCTGTACATTATCCATCTCACAAAGAGAAACATATCCATAGCTAAGACACATACATGGAGTTCAATTGCAACTGAGCAAGCACATAAGGAATCCACACAGATCCCGACTTGGTGGAACAGCAACTGGATCGGTGAGTATCCGTTCAGTCAGAAGAGCTGGTTTGAAACATCTTGTTATGGTCGAGACCGGGCTCATTCTGAAGCCTATGTCAGCGCCACACTCTGACAGTTTTATGAAACACTCTTTGCTACAAGGACGTAATGGAAAGTTCCAATATATTCCAGCAGGTTGGGAAGGTGGGATGTGACTTTTCTTTGGAAAAGTTAAACCCTTTTTGAAACTCTGTGTCTGAGGCTTTGCACTTCTGTATCTTTCGAGCTTTGATTCAGAAGCTGGAGCTGTACACAATTGTGTTCACGGTAAAATTTTGAGGCGATAACTGGAAAATAAATTTTAAATCTTCTATTTCTGAGTTTGATAAATAATACCTTTTCAGTCATTAATTATTATGGGCCAATTAAATTCAATCTCTGAAAAAATATCTTCAAATAATTAATCATTACAGCATTCGCAAAAGGATAGATTTATATGTGCAGTCCTATTTATAAGAAATGAACTTATAATCTTTACAATTTGTGTTAAATTTACAATTTATTTTAAATTAAATATTTTTGAGCAGTTAGTCTAAAAATAAAATGATATCTTTGTTTATACAAATATTATTTCTTTCTGAACTGATAATACTGAAAACATAATGATGCATACTGAAAACAGAATGATGCAGATTACGGTCATTGTGGTTAATATGCATTAATTATAGAGAGAATTCATGTTCAGTTACAATCTATTTTTGTAATAAAATAGATAAAGTTATTTCAACTGTATTTTCACTTGTATTTTCTTGATTAGTTAAATACCTGAATTCAAGAGAAGGCCAGCAATTGGCTTTTGGCTGCCCCAAGAAGTATATTTGATGAAATTCGAAAAATACATATTTTTAGAAAAACTAAATTATTATTTCAAATTGCTTATGACTAAAAAAGGAATAAAAGTTTGAAAATGACTATGCAAGGAGATAAAAGGTTTCAGTATTCAGGGCATGCTTAACAATTTTAATTTTCAGTGTCGGCAACCTGCATTTAACTGTAAACGTATTTTTAAGCAAAATGTTGAAGTATTACATATGAAAGAAATTTTATGCATAATTAGTCTACGCACCCCTCCAAACTCCTTTCCTTTCCTGTACTGTTGATGAGGAGAAATGCATACTTTACGTTATTTATCTACAGTGAAACAAATACAATGTTAATCATTAAACATCCGCTTCGATTTCGTTAGGAGTAGAGGATACGATAAACTCATTATTTTTTAATCTGCCTTCGCTATTTTTGTAATGAATGTAGATACACGCACACATATATTCATTTTTATAATATGCATACAAAACATCAAAACATCTAAAGATTTCACGAAATTTTGCGCAGAAGCATCTGCATAAACTTACACTAATTGAGAATGCAGTTTAAAAACCAACAATTTTTCAAACGACTTTCAGTAAATGCTAATGATTAATTCATTTCTAATAAAAATTTACCAGTAACAATAATAGTTTTTATGCTCAAATTTACATTTTCAAGCAGACATAGCTTCCTGCCTGTATTTAAACCTTTCCAGCGGCCCAGTTCTTTGGTTCTCCTCATGAAAAATCGGTATATAAATAACATTCATTTATTAATTTTTATTTATAAAATGATTATTTTTTCCTTTCGTTCCGTTACCTTCCATTCCGTACAGTGACATTTAGATTATCAAGGGTAATAAGAAAACAAAATATTTTAAGTAATAAGCCAATAAATTACCAGATCGTATGATCCGGTAAAAGCAATCACGCTTCTCAGAGTTAAATATCTTCATCCGTGGACATATATCATTTTGTTCAAATGAAATTAAAATCTTGACGTGCGTGCAGAACTTGATATGATATTTAAAAGAGGTAACTTTTACCATGATGACTTGAAACTAAAGATGTTAATAACTAGGACTTCGATTACTGAAAATGATATTCTGTGAACATTCTACTTTTCGGATCATACCGTTTGCCATTAAACTCTGATATAATTTTGCATATCTCATTTTCATAATCTAAAGAGCTCTCATATCTAAGCATAGGGCAATGGGCAAAATTTCTTGAAAATTTAAAGCTAAAATAACCTTTCTAACTTTGCTTGTTAGACAACTTACAGAGTTTCCCAAAAAGCTGGAACCAAACCAAAGTTCTCATTCCTGCATCCAAGCCTTTTGAAAATTTGTTGAACTTTACTGCAATATGAAGCTAAATTACTTTCATCGTTCTCACGCGCAATACTATTTAATCTAGTTTATAAATTTATTTCTCGTCTTTCAACTTTATACGCTCACTACAGACATGCATTTACTCTGAATTTGTCAGCATTAGGAATAAGATGTGTTATGATACATCTCAATACAATGGAATCTCTTATGGTGCTCGCTTTGAAAGTGGCAAATATTTCTTAGAACATAATAAAGCACCTGAATGGAACATCACTCTTTCAAGGGGACCACCTACTTCTAAAGAAAAACCAAAACTGTCTGGAACTGTGGGAAGTTGTCCTCGGAAGATTTCGCTGCAATATAAAATATCTAAAATATGAAAGTAGCAAATTTGCAGGTGTGCACAAGGTTTTTCCACTGTTCACTGTAATACATATCTCTTGATAAGGAAACAAGTACCTCTTCGTTTGGCTTATGAGAACATTAATCACTGAAAACTGAAATTGTTTTTAAAAATTTTGAATAGCATTTAGCACATTTCTGAGGTCAACTCACTTTTGCAATTATCCTATTTCTTGTTTTAATACTAGATTTGAATTTCGTTATCAACAAAGGTAAAATGTAACGTTATTGAAAAGAGTGTATATAAGTATATGTGTGTGTATATGTATATTTATATATATGCAAAAAAGAAACAGTAATAGGCCAAAATTAACAACAAAAACTAACCACTTCTGTGCTATAGGAGGATTGAAGTAAATTAAAGCATCTAAAATTAAAATTCAATAAAAGGAGATTAATTTTTATATTCTTATAATTTTGTATATTTTTTTCTTTTCGCATTTTTATTTGAGTTTATTCTACTGATGAATTCCTATTTTACTTTTGATATGCTTAAATACAGTGTTAAATCTCTTATCCACGGTTACAATTATTAATATTGAAGAGGAACTGCCTTGCTTTGATTCCAATTTAATTAACTTTACATGCTTTACGCCTATACCTATTTGTATAACACATCATCACAACTGAAAATAGAAAACCGCATTAGTATTTCAAGCTTTTATTATTGGTAATTTTTTAAGCAATGAAAGCTTTTATTATTAATATTAAAATTTATTTACACTAGCCTCTTGTTCGATCAGCCACCTGAAATAGTTACTTTAAAAGGGAAAAAATATATAATGATCTGACTGCATCTAGCCAGTATAATTTCACGGTTCAGCTAGAAATTAATTATAATAAGGATGAAGAGCTGAGTTTATTGATTTTTAAATCATTTACTTTTTTAATCAATAACAGGCAGGTGAAATATGAAGAAATATATCTTAGTTTTGCGGACGGCACAGCACATTGTTGCGTGGGAGATAAAATATTTCATTTCAGGCAGTGGCAATACATTTCATTTAAATCGTGGAGTTTTTTTTAGTTTAATTTGAACCATAAATATCTTACGTTTTGAAAAATGGCAACAGATTGCCTTAAATTGCAGAGTTTTTTTTCCGAAGCAGGAGACGTGAAAAAAGTGCAATGCCTTCGCCCGGATTCGAACACTGGTCCTCTCGAATACAACACACAGTTACAATACAAAAGCATGCATACGGAAAGAGAGGATAAAATACATTATCAGTTTTTTAAGCCGAAACTAATTAAATTCTCATGAAAGAGAAAACAAATCAAATAGGAATTCCAAATTCAAAAGTCTAGCTTCAGCGGGCACCTGTTCGGGGTGAAGGACTATGTGTGCTCAAAATCTGGTGGTTATGCATTTTTGCATAATACGAACGAAGCACATACATACATATTATTTATTATTTAATAATCCACCCATTATAGGTTAGGAGAGCGACTGCGATACCAAATCGCCCGGGTTCGAACTCGGAGATGGCATGGTTGTATTTGTCCGTCCCATCATAGGAGGCAAAAGTGGCCCACCTTTTAGGTACCTCCATAATAAAGTGACTACCGCCTCTAGCCTGAGTAGTGGCCAACGTCTGTGCGCGGTTTGGGCACGCCACTGGAAGTAAAAAGTAGTAATAGGGATAAAGCTTTTAATTGCTAGATGAATCTTTATTATTTATTTTGTTTTTAAACAAATTATTTTTTATTGGATATTTTTGTATGTCGACTTCATCCGTTGAATCCCCTTAAACGTCTTCTTTAATGAACAAAGCTCGGATTTCCAAAAGCATATTACTTCCTGAATAGTGTAGGGAGAGATATTCAAGAAACAGTTGAACATGGAATGCAATCTTTATAGCTAATTGGAAATTCCGAATTCCCGAGATTCTTCAGATGAATCATGGAGATTTCACAAACCGGTCAAACGTAAATGGGAGTTCCAGAAGATTTTATGATTTATTCGTGTTTATGACAGTCTTACTAACTACTTTTAATTTAGAAAATTCTTGGAGACGATAAATTCTACAATGGATAATAGCCGGAGAGAATTTCCAAAATTTCTATATTAACCGAGATATTTTAGATTGCTTCGCAGCAAAATTTTTACCTCCATTTACTTGTTAATATAAAAATTAAATGTTAGTCATTATTTATAAATTTATTAGTCCAAAGGGGCAATTTGCCCAAAAGGACTATTAATTTCGTTTTGGCAATTTGCTTCGATTCACGATAAGCATTGTTTCACTTTTCAAATTTTTTCCACCAAATATTATCGCCCTGTATTATATTTAAAGAAATTAAATAATGAAGAATCTGCATAAATGTATGTATGTTTCTCGCACTGTGACAAAACAACGATACCTAGAGCCACTGAAATTTAAATAACGTACTCTTCCACAGAATATGGGCATGTGGAAGCTCTAATTCGAATTTGAACTTTGTTTTATTATCGATTACATATTTTGTAATATGTCAATGAATTTTTGAT